AGCGACGCGGGGAGACCTAAGACAAGACCGTGCTGGGACAGGTGACGCAGACGAGGGAGAGCAGAGTGACAGAGAAGGGACGGGTGAGTGAGGGAACGACACGAGCAAGCTGCAGCGACCTGGGAGGACGCACCAACCCGAGGGGAAGCGGTGTCGAGGGTAAACAGACCGGACACCGGGTCCCGGGGGAACGTCGCAAGAGGGGAACCTGAGACAGCCTCAGAACAGACAGCGAACCGCTCGTGCCCGGGGAACGTGGTGGTGACGCCGAGGTCCTGGAGACAGCCGACACCAACCAGGTTCCTCGAGAACGAGGGGCCTGTAAGGGAGCCCGAGGGAACTGCAGGACAGGGAAGGGACGTAGAACTGCGAGCAACGACAGGACCCGCAGAGGGGTCAGCGAGAGAGACGACAGCAGGTGTAGCAAGCGGTGTGAGTGCGGAGCGGTCGCGGAAGAAGCAGGCAGAAGCACCGGAGTCGAGAGTGAACGACAGCGATGCAGTGGCGGAGGCCGGGAACGGGGCTGGTGCAGAGACTGGGCTAGGCAAGCTAGGCAGTCCTACGCCTGACGCAGCAGGGGAAGCTATGCTACTCAAGGGTGCAACACCTAAGCTGGAGAACACAGGATAATAAGATCCAGCAACACTAGCAGCGTCAGAATACAAAGCATGCAAAGCAGCACCTATCTGATCCATGTCTAACTCAAAGATCGGCACGCCCTGGCAGAGCAGGCTGTGCTAGTCAGGGAGGTCTGGGGCCGGGCCAAAGCGACGACGAAAAAGATCGTCAAGGCGGCGAAAACAGCGGGCAGTCGGGTGCGGGCGGCGACACAGAGTGCCGCGAAGAGGCCCGATCTGAAGCTGGTACTGGCACGTCACAGCACCGGAGCCGCTGGTAGACGCCGAGTTGCGCGGGCCGCCACCACGGCCACCACCTCCGCCGGTGCCAGGCCAACCAGGCGGGAGACGAGCCCACTGCTGCGGCGGCTGCTGCTGGGGCGACGGCTGCTGCTGGGATGGCGGCGGCGGCTCGGGCTGCTCCTGCTGCGGCGGGGGCTGCTGCTCCTGCCGACCAGTGGTAGTCCCAGCAGGCGGACTACCGTCACTACCACTAACACCACCACCACCACCTGCGCCACCACCCCGACCTCCGTGGCGACCACGGCCACTACGGCGCGAGCACTGCTGCGGGTGGACCGCAGCAGCCGTCTCGGTGGGAGGGGGCACCGTGGCGACCGCAGCCGAAACGTCAGTGAACGTGCACTGGGAGGGGGCACAGCCGTGAAAGATAGAGACTGCCGGCGCACCGCTCGACTGAGCGATAGTGCGCTGGCGAGTCTCGATCTCGGTGAGGGTGTCGACAAAGGCAGTGAGGGTGAGGTCAGCCGGGTGCTGGCTAAGGAAGTGATCGCGGGCACTAGCGAGGTGGTCCGGTAGGCGCATGGCGATGAAATAGAGCGTCATGCAGAAAGGAGGGGGGAGCGTAGTGAGCTGTGCAGCAGTGCTGGCAGTGCGATAGCGGGTCTCTAGGGCACGCAGGTGAGCGGCAAAGTCTGCGACGGTAGGGAAGGCTGCAAGGTCTGGGAAGAGCATCGGGAAAAGCAAGCGGCCAGCAGAGGCAGACGCGGGTGTGGAATAGCGGGCAATGACTGCGTCTAAGTAGGCTTTGACTGTCGCAATGGTAGCAAAACGCGAGCGTTCAGACACAGGGAGGGCGTGGCTAATAGCAACCTGAGCGACCGCATCGCGGGAGTCCCAGACAACACAGGCAAGTGCAGCAGTAGAGAAGGTCTCACGGGCATCAGAGGAGGGGTCGACAGGGAGGGGAACGGGCGCAGGGGGGCGGGGGAGCAAACCATCGACATGGACAACCAAAGAGTGGCCATCCTGACGCTGACCTGTAAGGTGGCGGCGGAGGTCAGAGAGCCAGGCGGCAAAGTCAACCGCGTGGCCCTCGGCGTCCAGTCGGAGCACGAAGTCAGCCATCGTGCAGGGTCAGCGGCACACCTCCGCAGGAACAGGACGGCAGCGCCCTCCAACACGGCGGCCGCAAAACGGCGCCCCAGCACGTGCGAGCAGGTACGAAGAGGCGCCGGCCGGTCAGGCACGGCGGGTGAGGCACGGGAGGTGCGGCAGAGCCAGGAGGTGCGGCAGGGCCGGGCAGGCGCGGCAGGGCCAGGCAGGGGCGGCGGGGCCAGGAGGCGCGGCAGGGCCAGGCAGGCGCGACGGGGCCCGGCAGCGCGGCGGCGCCAGGAGACGAGACGGGGCCAGGCAGGCGCGACGGGGCCAGGCAGCGCGGCGGGGCCAGGAGACGCGGCGGGGCCAGGCAGGCGCGGTGGGGCCAGGCAGGCGCGACGGGGCCAGGCAGGCGCGGCAGTGCCAGGCAGACGCGGCAGGGCCAGGCAGGCTCGACAGGGCCAGGCAGCGCGGCGGGGCCAGGAGACGCGGCGGGGCCAGGCAGGCGCGACGGGGCCAGGCAGGCGCGGCAGTGCCAGGTAGCGCGGCGGGGCCAGGCAGGTGCGGCAGTGCCAGGCAGGCGTGACGGGGCCAGGAGACACGGCAGGGCCAGGCAGGCGCGACGGGGCCAGGCAGGCGCGGCGGGGCCAGGCAGGCTCGACGGGGCCAGGCAGGCACAACGGGGCCAGGCAGGTGCGACGGGGTCGAGGAGGCACGAGGGGCCCAGGAGGGGCGTGACGGGCTAGAAGGCGCTGCAGGGGCCCAGGGGGGGGCGCGACGGGCGAGGAAGCGCTACAGGAGCCCAGGAGGGGCGCGACGGGGCCCAGGCAGCGCGATGGGGCCCAGTGGGACGAGACGGGGTCTAGGAGGCACGATGGGGCCCAGGGGGGCGCGACGGGACCTACGGGGCACGAAGGGGGCCCAGGAGGGGCGCGACGGGGCCTAGGCAGCGTGATGGGGCCCAGGGGGGCGCGACGGGGCCTAGGAGGCGCGATGGAGCCCAGGGGGGCGCGATGAGGCCTACGAGGCACGATGGGGCCCAGGGGGGCGCGACGGGGCCTACGGGGCATGAAGGGGCCCAGGAGGGGCGCGACGGGGCCTAGGCAGCGCGATGGGGCCCAGGGGGGGCGCGACGGGGCCTAGGCAGCGCGATGGGGCCCAGGGGGGCGCGACGGGGCCTAGGCAGCGCGGTGGGGCCCAGGGGGGCGCGACGGGGCCTAGGAGGAACAGAGGGGGTGGCGGGGCCTAGGAGGCACGGGCGGAAGCGGTAGGTGGAGGGGAACCAACCTACAGGTGATACCATCTTAAAGGAAAACTGAATAATGATTTACTTGAAAGAATTGTACAAGGACATATATCTAAGGGTTGTACTCTCTAAGAGATGACCCTATACAGTCTATACAAACATTGTAAATAAACATGTTTGACACGTGATGCCACGTTGGCCCCGTCATGCCGCGCTACGCCGCGCTGGCCCTGTCACGCCGCGCTGGGCCCGTCACGCTGCGCTGGCCCCGTCACACCGCGCTGGCCTCGTCACTCCGCGCTGGCCCCGCCACACCGTGCTGGCCCCATCACTCTGCGCCAGCCCCGTAACCTTGCGCGGGACTCATCACTCCGCGCCGGCCCCGTCACTCCGCGCCGACCCCGTCACTCTACGCCCGCCCCGTCACGCCGCGCCGGCCCCGTCACTCTCCGCTGGCCCGTCCCTCCGCGCCAGCCACGTCACTCCGCGCCAGCCCCGTCACGCCGCGCCGTCCCCGTCACTCTGCGCCGCCGAGATGCTGAGCCGTGCCGCCGTGCCTCAGCGACGCTGTGCCGCTGTGTCATCGTGCCGCCGTGCCGTCGTGCTGCCGTGGCGGCTTCGCCGCGCCAGCGCACGGACGGCTGCGGCCAGCGCCCTGTCCCAGGCGCCAGCCGTGACGCCCTTACGCCAGTCACGGGCGTGAGGCTGGACCACGCCCCGACCCCCTTCCTCAGTGTCCTCTTCCTCGCCACAGCCAACGGCTGACTCGCGCCGCCGGCCGTCCCACTGTCGCGGAGCCTGGCCACGCCGCCGAGTGGCGCGAGCGTCACCGCCGCCGCCACTGTTGTCGAAGCCGCCGCCGCCACCGCTGTTGCCGCTGGCCATTCTTGCCGCCGCAAGCCGCCCTCGTCGCTGCTGTCATCACTGCCGCCACTGCCGTCGTCGCCACCGCACCCTTGCGGTTGATGTCGCCGCCTCGCCCGTGGAGAGGTTGACCTACTGACAACCGCCGCTGCTGCTGCTGGGAGCGGGGGTGCTAGGTTAGGGGGTGTGGGTGTGTGTGGGCTTGTGACTACCAAGTCTAGGGGGTGTGTTAAATCATATATTTTGCTATATAATTGGTAGGCTTGGTAGGTTACTGAACTTTACTGTAGAGGGTACAACCCCCCTCTTGTTTCTAGCCCTCTTTTCCCTCGTCAACTCTCGCCTCTCCTAGCTCCTAAAACCTCACGCCATTCCATGGCCGCCTACCTTCCTTCATAGCTACCGTCCTAGCTAGCTTAGTTAGCCTTTTAACACGCCCCCCCCGGGGGACAGGACCCTGGGTCCTTTAATCCGCTAATGGGGCTTATGCGCATTATTTGATTATAAGCCCCTCCCCCTTCGGAGAGCACTTCATCGTTTAAGCCCCTAGGAGTGTACGAGAAGGTTTTTTTACACCGAATGATCATGCATCTTTTGTCGAGTACGTTTGCCCTCATTCTGCAAAATTCAGCTCTCAGACAGCTCATAGGGCGTGTCCGCAGCGTGCGCACATACAAACGTATGACCCCGTGTCAGAAACCTCGCGTTAAAGCCCAGGTCCCAGATTAGAAAAGTCAGACCCGAACCTGCATCAAACTGGGGGCAGTTTGATGTAGGTTCGGGCTGGTAACTGAATCCACACCCCCTTGAACACAAAATGAGCCCAAGCCGAACCTGCGGGGTTTTCGCAAGCGAGAGAGACGAATTCCTCAGTCAAGGGCAATCCCCTCGGAGCTGGCCCCGGAAAGCCCAACAGCAACAGCAACTCAATGCATGGGCCAACTTGATCTGGAAATATGGGACCAAGCAAACCATCGAGTACGGGGCTTTCGCGTGACAAGAGCAACAGAATAGAGACTGAAGGGACTAGAGTCGACTCAAGATCGAAACGCCAAGTACATCATAAGGTTTAACGTGAGGATAGGAGAGTAAGCGCGCCAAAGGATGGCGCCGCGAGACGGTAATGTGGCGCGCGGGTAGATAGGAAAGGCGACGTTGGATAGGAAAGGCGATACGGAAAGTTGGCGCGAGGGCGAAAAAGAAATGCCAGGCGGAAGAAAAGCGCGAGGGCGAATAGGAAATGCGCTGCGAAAAGAAAGAAGCGAGGGCGGAGAGGAGAGGAGAGGCGGAAAGGTGACGCCAGGGCGGACAGGAATGTATTAGGGAAATTTGAAGCGAGGGCGGATAGGAAATGGGAGGTGGGAAGGAGGTGCGCCGCGGAGAGGAGGGCGTGGAGAGTGACGCTGACAGACCGCGTGAAGGAGATGCGAGGGGGGAAGGGGACGCGACGGGGAGAGGGGGGACGCGACGAGGAGAGGGGACGCGGTGAGGAGGGGGGACGCGACGAGGAGAGGGGACGCGGTGCGGAGGGGGGAAGCGACGAGGAGAGGGGACGCGGTGAGGAGGGCGGACGCGACGAGGAGAGGGGACGCGGTGCGGAGGGGGGAAGCGACGAGGAGAGGGGACGCGGTGAGGAGGGTGGACGCGACGAGGAGAGGGGATGCGGTGCGGAGGGGGGAAGCGACGAGGAGAGGGGATGCGGTGAGGAGGGCGGACGCGACGAGGAGAGGGGACGCGGTGCGGAGGGGGGAAGCGACGAGGAGAGGGGACGCGGTGAGGAGGGCGGACGCGACGAGGAGAGGGGACGCGGTGCGGAGGGGGGAAGCGATGAGGAGAGGGGACGCGGTGAGGAGGGCGGACGCGACGAGGAGAGGGGACGCCGTGAGGAGGGGGGACGCGACGAGGAGAGGGGACGCCGTGAGGAGGGGGGATGCGACGAGGAGAGGGGACGCGTCGGAGGGAGGGGGTGCGGCGGGAGGTGAGGCGGAGAGGCGAGGAGGAGAGGGGAGGAGGAGAGGTGGGGAGGAGAGGTGTAACGCATGGGCTCTGCACAGTACGCGGACCTAGAAACAACCTTCCCAACCGCTTTCCACAAATCGGCTACCTATGCTAAGGTAGCGCGAAATGGGAAGGAAGGGTTGGGAGGGGAGGATTGGGATTGGTCGACACTTGGGACCAATCAGATTTTAGTTGTACAAATTGAGTTGGCGAAATTCCCAACTCACGTGATGGTTGGATTTGCGACCAATCAGAACCAGGAAGTTGGTTGGCAGTGCCAACTCAACTCGAATATTCTTATGCTGTACACTATATGCTAATCTCAATATATTGCTGTAAACCTCTCATTGGTTGGAAATCCAACCCTTTTGCCACATAAGCTAGCTCACCTCCTTGGAGCCATGGAGGAGGTTGAGCAGCTGCTGGGAGTCATTGGAAGGGGTCTGAGCTGAGAAGCTCATTCTCAACTTCCCACTCCAAGAAATCAATCTTGAAATGGGATTTTTCTCTAAGTCATGAGCTCTCCTCACAAGCTTCCCTACACTAGTGGCTTCTAGTGTGATCTCCTAGGGGAAGCCCTACCCAACCAGAGTCTCAAGCATTTTTCTTCAAGGGCCTTCCTCAAGCTTGAGCTATATCTTAGAGGAGGCTCCTCCTAAATACTACGCTAGGGGATCGTTAGTTCATTTGGTACTCCATTTTATATCCTAGGATCTTGGATGTTGGGTTTGGGACTTCAACCCTTGTTGCCCATGATCTAAGGGCAAGGGTTGTTACAAGAGGTGAGGCGGAGAGGCGAGGAGGAGAGGGGAGGAGGAGAGGTGGGGAGGAGAAGTGAGGCGGAGTGGCGAGGAGGAGAGGGGAGGAGGGGAGGTGGGGAGGAGAGGTGAGGCGGGGAGGCGAGGAGGAGAGGGGAGGAGGAGAGGTGGTGAGGAGAGGTGAGGTGGAGTGGCGAGGAGGAGAGGGGAGGAGGAGAGGTGGGGACGAGAGGTGAGGTGGAGAGGCGAGGAGGAGAGGGGAGGAGGAGAGGTGGGGAGGAGAGGTGAGGCGGAGAGGCGAGGAGGAGAGGGCAGGAGGAGAGGTGGGGAGGAGAGGTGAGGCGGAGAGGCGAGGAGGAGAGGGGAGGAGGAGAGGTGGGGAGGAGAGGTGAGGCGGAGAGGCGAGGAGGAGAGGGGAGGAGGAGAGGTGGGAAGGAGAGGTGAGGCGGAGAGGCGAGGAGGAGAGGGGAGGAGGAGAGGTGGGGAGGAGAGGTGAGGAGGAGAGGCGAGGAGGAGAGGGGAGGAGGAGAGGTGGGGAGGAGAGGTGAGGCGGAGAGGCGAGGAGGAGAGGGCAGGAGGAGAGGTGGGGAGGTGAGGTGAGGCGGAGAGGCAAGGAGGAGAGGGGAGGAGGAGAGGTGGGGAGGAGAGGAGAGGCGAGGAGGAGAGGGGAGGAGGAGAGGTGAGGAGGAGAGGTGGGGAGGAGAGGTGAGGCGGAGTGGCGAGGAGGATAGGGGAGGAGGAGAGGTGGGGAGGAGAGGTGAGGCGGAGAGGCGAGGAGGAGAGGGGAGGAGGAGAGGTGGGGAGGAGAGGTGAGGCGGAGTGGCGAGGAGGAGAGGGGAGGAGGGGAGGTGGGGAAGAGAGGTGAGGCGGAGAGGCGAGGAAGAGAGGGGAGGAGGAGAGGTGGGGAGGAGCGGTGAGGCGGAGAGGCGAGGAGGAGAGGGGAGGAGGAGAGGTGGGGAGGAGAGGTGAGGCGGAGAGGCGAGGAGGAGAGGGGAGGAGGAGAGGTGGGGAGGAGAGGTGAGGCGGAGAGGCGAGGAGGAGAGGGGAGGAGGAGAGGTGGGGAGGAGAGGTGAGGCGGAGAGGCGAGGAGGAGAGGGGAGGAGGAGAGGTGGGGAGGAGAGGTGAGGCGGAGTGGCGAGGAGGAGAGGGGAGGAGGGGAGGTGGGGAGGAGAGGTGAGGCGGAGTGGCGAGGAGGAGAGGGGAGGAGGAGAGGTGGCGAGGAGAGGTGAGGCGGAGTGGCGAGGAGGAGAGGGGAGGAGGGGAGGTGGGGAGGAGAGGTGAGGCGGAGAGGCGAGGAGGAGAGGGGAGGAGGAGAGGTGGGGAGGAGAGGTGAGGCGGAGAGGCGAGGAGGAGAGGGGAGGAGGAGAGGTGGGGAGGAGAGGTGAGGCGGAGAGGCGAGGAGGAGAGGGGAGGAGGAGAGGTGGGGAGGAGAGGTGAGGCGGAGAGGCGAGGAGGAGAGGGCAGGAGGAGAGGTGGGGAGGTGAGGTGAGGCGGAGAGGCAAGGAGGAGAGGGGAGGAGGAGAGGTGGGGAGGAGAGGAGAGGCGAGGAGGAGAGGGGAGGAGGAGAGGTGAGGAGGAGAGGTGGGGAGGAGAGGTGAGGCGGAGTGGCGAGGAGGAGAGGGGAGGAGGAGAGGTGGGGAGGAGAGGAGAGGCGGAGAGGCGACGAGGAGAGGGGAGGAGGAGAGGTGGGGAGGAGAGGTGAGGCGGAGAGGCGAGGAGGAGAGGGGAGGAGGAGAGGTGGGGAGGAGAGGTGAGGTGGAGTGGCGAGGAGGAGAGGGGAGGAGGGGAGGTGGGGAGGAGAGGTGAGGCGGAGAGGCGAGGAGGAGAGGGGAGGAGGAGAGGTGGTGAGGAGAGGTGAGGCGGAGAGGCGAGGAGGAGAGGGGAGGAGGAGAGGTGGGGAGGAGAGGTGAGGCGGAGAGGCGAGGAGGAGAGGGGAGGAGGAGAGGTGGGGAGGAGAGGTGAGGCGGAGAGGCAAGGAGGAGAGGGGAGGAGGAGAGGTGGGGAAGAGAGGTGAGGCGGAGAGGCGAGGAGGAGAGGGGAGGAGGAGAGGTGGGGAGGAGAGGTGAGGCGGAGAGGCGAGGAGGAGAGGGGAGGAGGAGAGGTGGGGAGGAGAGGTGAGGCGGAGAGACGAGGAGGAGAGGGGAGGAGGAGAGGTGGGGAGGAGAGGTGAGGCGGAGAGGCGAGGAGGAGAGGGCAGGAGGAGAGGTGGGGAGGTGAGGTGAGGCGGAGAGGCAAGGAGGAGAGGGGAGGAGGAGAGGTGGGGAGGAGAGGAGAGGCGAGGAGGAGAGGGGAGGAGGAGAGGTGAGGAGGAGAGGTGGGGAGGAGAGGTGAGGCGGAGTGGCGAGGAGGAGAGGGGAGGAGGAGAGGTGGGGAGGAGAGGAGAGGCGGAGAGGCGACGAGGAGAGGGGAGGAGGAGAGGTGGGGAGGAGAGGTGAGGCGGAGAGGCGAGGAGGAGAGGGGAGGAGGAGAGGTGGGGAGGAGAGGTGAGGTGGAGTGGCGAGGAGGAGAGGGGAGGAGGGGAGGTGGGGAGGAGAGGTGAGGCGGAGAGGCGAGGAGGAGAGGGGAGGAGGAGAGGTGGTGAGGAGAGGTGAGGCGGAGAGGCGAGGAGGAGAGGGGAGGAGGAGAGGTGGGGAGGAGAGGTGAGGCGGAGAGGCGAGGAGGAGAGGGGAGGAGGAGAGGTGGGGAGGAGAGGTGAGGCGGAGAGGCGAGGAGGAGAGGGCAGGAGGAGAGGTGGGGAGGTGAGGTGAGGCGGAGAGGCAAGGAGGAGAGGGGAGGAGGAGAGGTGGGGAGGAGAGGAGAGGCGAGGAGGAGAGGGGAGGAGGAGAGGTGAGGAGGAGAGGTGGGGAGGAGAGGTGAGGCGGAGTGGCGAGGAGGAGAGGGGAGGAGGAGAGGTGGGGAGGAGAGGAGAGGCGGAGAGGCGACGAGGAGAGGGGAGGAGGAGAGGTGGGGAGGAGAGGTGAGGCGGAGAGGCGAGGAGGAGAGGGGAGGAGGAGAGGTGGGGAGGAGAGGTGAGGCGGAGTGGCGAGGAGGAGAGGGGAGGAGGGGAGGTGGGGAGGAGAGGTGAGGCGGAGAGGCGAGGAGGAGAGGGGAGGAGGAGAGGTGGTGAGGAGAGGTGAGGCGGAGAGGCGAGGAGGAGAGGGGAGGAGGAGAGGTGGGGAGGAGAGGTGAGGCGGAGAGGCGAGGAGGAGAGGGGAGGAGGAGAGGTGGGGAGGAGAGGTGAGGCGGAGAGGCGAGGAGGTGAGGTGAGGAGGAGAGGCGGGGAGGAGAGGTGAGGCGGAGAGGCGAGGAGGAGAGGGGAGGAGGAGAGGTGGGGAGGAGAGGTGAGGCGGAGAGGCAAGGAGGAGAGGGGAGGAGGAGAGGTGGGGAGGAGAGGTGAGGCGGAGAGGCGAGGAGGAGAGGGGAGGAGGAGAGGTGGGGAGGAGAGGTGAGGCGGAGAGGCGAGGAGGAGAGGGGAGGAGGAGAGGTGGGGAGGAGAGGTGAGGCGGAGAGGCGAGGAGGAGAGGGGAGGAGGAGAGGTGGGGAGGAGAGGTGAGGCGGAGAGGCGAGGAGGAGAGGGGAGGAGGAGAGGTGGGGAGGAGAGGTGAGGCGAGGAGGAGAGGGGAGGAGGAGAGGTGAGGAGGAGAAGTTGGGAGGAGAGGTGAGGCGGAGTTGCGAGGAGGATAGGGGAGGAGGAGAGGTGGGGAGGAGAGGTGAGGCGGAGAGGCGAGGAGGATAGGGGAGGAGGAGAGGTGGGGAGGAGAGGTGAGGCGGAGTGGCGAGGAGGAGAGGGGAGGAGGAGAGGTGGGGAGGAGAGGTGAGGCGGAGAGGCGAGGAGGAGAGTGCAGCGTTTACCACCTCTTCCTCCAACCCTCTGCCCCACCACGCTCTCCCCCCTCATCACCCCACTCTCCCACCATCACACCCCTCTTCTCACCTCGAGGATAGCAGCAGCAGCAGCGGCAGCTCCCTGGTGCTGCCTGCGCCGCACTCGGGCCCCTTTATGGAGGGCCCGGAGTGCGAGACGCCCACTTTCAGGGGCAGGGGGGTGCCACCAAACGATAGAGGGGTAGGGGCAGCGGCTCCTGCTGCTAGTGCTGCTGCTAGCACTGCTGCTGGGGCTGCCACCTCCTCCTACACTTTCTCCACTCTGTTGCTGTTAAAGATACAATATATCTTCACCTGTTTATGTTAATTATCAATAATTTCAGAAACCACCAACGTTCCATACTCTATTCACAACAGCATGGCTATCACGAGCAGAGGAACACGGCACTACCAATAGCTGCAAGAGTGGGAGCAGAGGTGGTGCTGAGAGCACGAGTGGGAGGAGCGTTTCAAGTGAGCAGCAGGAGATGGTGATCGATCTCTAGTTTGGCTCTGCTTCTTCCCCCGCCCGAAACCCTCCATACATGTTCCACTGCCTAAAAAAGAAATGCAACATCATCCCTATCATTAAATAACAACGAGAAGGATGTTTATAAGAATGATGAGCTCACTTGCAACCACTAGTACCTCACTTGCAACTTTGCAAGCATGACAAGCTCCATGTGAAAAGAGTACATATTATGTTAAGTTACAACAGCTTGATAGTCCTTCCTACCCCCAATCATCACCCGTCAGTAGGAGTCGTTGTGGGGAGGGGAGTACCCCCCGGTCAGCAGATCCGGATTGCCTGAAGCCACCTGGGAGTAGAGCGAAGGATCTGAGGGCGCCCCACCACCAAAACTGCCACCACCACCCCCACCGATAGCACCACTGCCCACCCCTCAAGAGCCACCAGCAGCGGGTCTGTTCGGTGCTGCGGCAGCAGCGGTGGCTGCAATGGCAGCAATAGCGCCTACCTCCGCACTCCAGCTGACGCTGGGTTTGTGGCAGACCCAACCAGCCCCTGCTGCTGCTGCTGCTGCAGCTGGTGGTATCCCTTTCACCTCCTCCCACCCTCAACGCTGCTGCCCCTGATGGTACTCATGCTATTTGTACTCCTCCCCTGCCTCCTGCTTTCTGACCCATCCCTGCAGCAGCAGCAGCATCAGCTGCTGCAATAGAGCCAGCCGCAGCGGCGACAGCAACAGCAGTTGCCAAGCCACCAGCAGCACCAGAAACTGTGACCTCCAGCAGCCCACCCTCCCCTGAATCCCCCCTCCCTGAGTCTCCCCTCCTTGACTCTCCCCCCCCTGACTGCCTTCCAGCTGAATCCCCTCCCACACTCTGCCTCAACCAACTCCCTCTCACCCCTCCTCCCACCCCCACACCCCCACCAGACCCAACATCCCCACCTCTCCCACCTCCCCACCCTGCAATCCCCACACCAGTAAACCCTCCCCCAGGTGCCATTCGAGTCGCCCTGGCCCTCCCCTCCCGACTCACAGGCCTTGACCAATGCGGAGAAGGCTCCAGATCCCTCCATATGCCCGCCGATGATGGGGAGGGGGTGGAAAGAGGAGCATACCGCATGCCGAACGGGGCGGTGGTGGCGGTATGGGCGGGGGAGGGTGAAGGGGAGGCAAGGTTGGAGTAGCGGCCGTGCTGGAGCACCTATTGCTGGTGCTGCTGGTAATGGTGGTTGTGGTGGTGGTAGTGCTGCTGCTGGTGATTCCCAGAAGGAGTGGCATCAACAGAGCGGGCAGGGGAGGAGACGTGAGAGGGGGAGGTGGGGACTGGATCAGGGATGATGGATGAGGTGAGCAAGCTGCCGAAGATGGGAGCGGAGCCGGGCGCGGCCCTGCTGAGGCGAGCCGTGAAGAAGAAGGACGCGCCCTGGTTGGGCTCGCTCTCTAGCCAGATCTTCCCGCCCATCACGTGCACCAGGCTGGGGGGTGTGGGCGGGGGAGGGGAAGAGAAGACAAGGATTGGTGGAGCAAAGGGAAGGACGATGAGCCCTGGCTGGGCTCGCTCTCCAACCAGATCTCCCCCCACATCATGTGCACCAGGCTGTGAGTGGGGGGGAGTGGGGGAGGGGAGCTGGACAAAGGGACAGCGCAGTCAGCCCATCCTCTACCACCCGTGATCTTCCCTCTAACACCCCTGACCTTCCCTCCTCTTCCACCCCTGACCTTCCCTCCTCTTCCACCCCTGACCTTCCCTCCTCTACCACTCCTGATCCGGGCCCGGGCCCGGGTACCTGCACTTGCTCCCTCTCCCACAAGTTCCAACCGCACCCCCTTCCTCCCATGCTCCCCCTCCACTGTGCCTGCTGCTCCCATGCCCATGTTCCCGCAACTGTTGGGGGGAGGTGAATAGAGAGTGGAGACGGGAGGGAAGAGGGGGGTTGGAGGTGGGAGGGGGGAGGGGGTGGGTTGAAGAGGGACGAGTGGCCCTTGTTCTGCAGATACGCAAGTAAAAGGGGCAGGACACAAGAAGAGGACCCTTGAACTGGAATGTTCTCAAGAATAGAAGAACAGATTTTGGGCATTCGGAGATGAGCACTGATGTGAGGGGAGAGAGATGGGATACAGAGGGCCCACGGAGCAACTGCGGACTCACAACATTCCGCTATGGGATCATGTAAACGTAGGCCACCTTGGTGTCTTTGCTCCCCCACACCGATTGGGATGCGACAGCACACCCACCGTGTACAGGGTACGAAAGCGCTCACGGTCAGCGATGTAGGCCCGACATGACACCTTGTAAACCGCAAGAGTAGTGAGGGGCATGGAAAAGCAAGAACGTATGGGCTCCATTTTTAGTAGGTCACTCATGTCGTAGTTAGAGATGAATGATTCGAAACAATCTCCTCTAGCGATACCCACACCCTTCATTAAATGCATGCGACGACATGGGCACAAGCGTGCAATCACTCACCAGCTAGACTGCGTCGCACCCCGGGGCGCGTCCCATGCGTCATGCGCCTTGTAGCCCGCGGGATCACTGGAGTTATCGGATTCTCCACACCATTGCCAAATGGAAACCGGGATGCCGCTTCTGTCCGAGCCCTTACTGCCACAGGTTCTTCTGAGTCCTCCCCCTCTGCACCCCCTTCTCCGAATTCGTCCATTGCGCAACGCCATTCCTGCAAGATGTTGTCGACCCATCCCCATTCCATTGGGCCAAGCACCCGGTCCCGCCGGCCCCGCCGCACCCGTGTTGTATGCCGCACCCTGGTGACGTAAGCTCTGACGATGCGGTCCATGGTATTGTTCCAGTGCAGGACAGCCAGGGCTACTCGTCATCATAACTCCCCTGGAACCTAATGCGTTTAGGCGCATACTTTATGATAAGCGAGTGAAACGACTCGTTCATTGAACTAGTTGCTCCCTCCACAATGCACGCGACCTTGGCGGGACTAAAGTGTAGTTGGCACCAATCCTGCACTGCCTTGTGGGTCGGAGAATTGGGTAAGTACACAGCACTCTCCACACCCCAATTCTCTGACACACACCTCGGCGCACGCTCGCCTGCCCTATGGCAGCGTGAATGATCACCAGCCCAATGATCAGCCGCGCAGCATAACTCCTCTGAAAGTACCTCGGGGGATCGTGGGTGACCCCCCTCTGCTGATGCACTGCAGCACATCATGCAATGGTAGAAATGAACACCTAGCCGGTCGGCCACTGTCACCTCCTTTACCCTTGGCCTTGCATCACCAGCACCTGTGCCATCCCCACCCGTCCCACGCCTAGTCCGCCTACGTGGTGCTCGCCTTCCCCACCTCCTTGTGGTCGCTTCCCCAGCGGCACCCTCGGAGTTGATATTTTCGTCTCCCTCGGCCGCCACCCTTCCAGACCCCGCACCGATGTCTGTTACTGTGGCGCCGGTGTGGTCGCCTTGCCCTGCCCACAATCAAGAAAAGGGGGTTCGAATAGAACATGTAAGGCGGGATATAGGGTACGCACTATGGGCACTATGCGTACAGATGCATATGCTTACCCCTAATGGTCTCTTCATCATCGGCGCCATCTCCCATGAAGTGTGTATTATCACCTATTCTGCTCCAAGCTTGCACAAGTAGCATTGATGCATGTGACGAGGGTCGTACCCCGTGCACGGGATGCGCATCGTATCCCCATAACTCATCCACATCGGCCCAACGGACCTCGGCAACAGGAACCTCGCCATGCAGAGCTTCCTCTGCTGCACCATCGCCATCCCCGTCTGTGGCCACGTATGCCCTTTCAGACTCTCCCACATCCTCCTCTTGTCGTGCACTCCCAGCAGTATTGCCACTACCGTCCACCCGCAGCACCTGCTGCAACTCGGGGTGCAAATACTTAGCGTCGGCCAGCTCCATGTCCTTGAAGACCAGGCCACGTGCCTCACATACTACACGCACCAGCTCCTTTTTTCCCATGGCACGACTGCACCTCCGACCACCATTTGTAGGATGCCTCAACCACGACACGAGCCGATCTACAGTGATCAGATATAGGTCCTCACATTCAGACGCCCCATCGACTGTACCCACTATCCGCAACTTGTCCTGCACATCTTTTTTGAAGCTACCCACCTCTGTGCCACACTTGTGCCACCAATCCACCTGATGCCTCAACCCTCTATCTCTCGCCGCACTCTTGAAACTAGCACCCTCATCGGTAATGATGCCTTCAACATGAAATCCACCTCCCTCTAACTCATCCATACCCTGGTGGAATGCAACTCGCTCAAGCCCCACCGATGAATCGTCGTCCCTCCCCCGCCTCGTATTTTTTACCAACACAATTTTACGGGTCTGTCTGTCCATCCACGAAACAGTACACCACTTCGCCTCACGCACCTGTGACCACCTACCATCGACACATAGCCACTCGCAATGGATTGGACGTGACAACATGCTCGCACGCACCATCTCCATGTTTTTCTTGGCCTGCTCCACTATTATTGCCCACAAACCATTATCCCCCCCCATAAATCGGTAGAATGTTCCATGCCCGGGACGCGGTACACCAAGGTTCCGACATACCTCCCATGTTTGTTGGAAACCTAGACCGGCAAGAGCAAACGCACCCACGAGCTTCGACAACATCTTCGGGCTACGTGGACCACGCTTGTTCGACGGGAGATCATCCCTGACACAACTAGTGGACCAGAACTCCTCCTTTGCATAGCAAGCATCACATAGCCACAACAGTCCTAAACATGCCCACGACCGCTTCCACGACCCCAGCTGCATACTTCCCTTACAGTTGGGCTTCTCGCACGTCCCCAAAGCACGCCCACAAAAGAATGACACAATAACACGTGGGTCCAAAAAGCAGACCATGTCGGTCGGGAAGTCGTCCCA